ATCCGCATGCCAATGCAGGGGACACGGGTTCGAGTCCTGGTCCGGGAAGATCCCACATGCCATGGAGTAACTAAGCCCGTGCACCACAACTACTGAGCCTGTGCTCTACAGCCCGCGAGCCACAACTGCTGAGCCCATGTGCCACAACTACTGAAGCCCGCGTGCCTAGAGCCCGTGCTCTGCAACAAGAGAAGCCACTGCATTGAGAAGCCCGCGCACCACAATGAAGAGTAGGCCGAACTCACTGCAACTAGAGAAAGCCCGTGCGCAGCATCGAAGACCCAATGCAGCCAAATAAATAAATAAATAAAGTTTATCATGGATTCTTTAAAAAAAAATAAGATAAAATAAAAGACTATACTTGATCAGTTAACAAACACCTAAGTATGTTCTACGCCCTTAAAACACTATTAGGAGAGAAAGAAATAAAGTGTCCCTATAAGGCCTTTGCATGCTCAGAAATTTTTTTTTTTAGTATTGAAGATAATAGGAATTTCTAGTATTATTTCTTTTGAACTTTAACCTAGAAAATAGTTGGTTGCCTCCCACATCTTTTCATACCTAAACCCATTCTCAATTTGGAGAGATCTTCTGCTTTTTAGGAGGAGTTGCATCAATGAAAAGAATAATGGTACTCGTAAGAACAGTTAACAGTTTATTTTTACCAGTTCATTATTCATCTTTAACCAAGATTGTCTTAATCGCTTTTATTTTAATAGTTTTATATCTCTAGTATTTTCAGTGCTATGTTATTTATTAAGAATATGGAGTTTGAAAGATTTTTGCCTGATTTCTTACGGCCAGCTTTCCTGTATCCCTCTTGTGGATTCCACTCTTGTACTTTCTCTCATCTCACTTCCTCCCTGACTCAGACCGAAGGGATTAAGATGTTTAAGAAGAGTTTTAAAGATGGCTGTCTCTCCCCCCTTCCCTTTTTTATTTTCAAAGCTCCAAATGAAAAGATGAAGCAAGTTTTAAAGAAGACTATAGAAGAAGCCAAAGCCATAATATCGAAGGTTAGCTTTTAAAATGAAACCTTTCTTCCCTTCCCTTCGTTCCCTCCCTCCTTCCATCCCTCCCCCTCTCTCTCTTTCCTTTCCTTCTTTCTTTTTCTTTCCTTCTTTCTTTTTCTTTCTTTCTTTCTTTTCTTCCTCCCTCCCTCTCTCTTTCTCTCCCCCTCCCTCCTTCCCTCCTTCCTCCTTCCAGAGGCAAGGGAAACAAGCATGTTCGGGGTGGGCCCTAGATCTTCCTTTTCATAATTGTCCTCAGTCCTCCCAGTTCTTTCAGGTCTGACAGAAATGGTTATGGGCTTGTGTAAATGTGGTTCACATATGAATTGATGCATATATGATTTTGTTTCCTTAACTTTTTTTTTTTTTTTTTAGTTGAGGTATAGTTGGCTTACAATATTGTGTTAGTGTCAGGTGCACCGCACAGTGATGCAGTTGTGCTTTTTTCTGATTATATTCTATTTTAGCTTATTACAAGATATTAAATATAAGTTCCTGTGCTGTACGGTAAATCCTTATTGCTTGTGTTGTAGTTTGTAACCCTTAAGAACTAATGAAAGCGGAATGGGGAGATGTGAACATTGTAACCACACGCTGGATCTACAGATACCTGGCTGGCACAGCATGTGTTTATGACGAATTAGCTTTTTGTAATTGTCTTAAGTATTTACACAAAAAGTATTTCATTGAAGGAGAAACATACCATTGACATGCATATACTGTGAGTCTGGAGGAGGATAATTTAAGGATTTTTCAAGAATTGAATGTTTTTACCAGTCGCTTTTGTTTATGTGTTGCTGGTACTAGTTGCTCCCACCCGCCACTGTAGACCTTCTCACTCGATAACTGCTTTTTCTTCTGTTCCTCTCAATGCGCTGGGCATGACTGTCATTTCTAAACCAATATTTCCCAAATTCTTCAAGCTCTTAACTAATCCTTTAAGTGCTTCAGGAAAGGCTGCCCTTCTGGCTGTTAATATAGGAAAGACTCTGGAAAAGCCTACAAGGAAGACTTCGGTTAGATCCAGCGTTTGCAAAATGCATTTGACTGCAGAACCTTTTTTTCAAAGGATAGATAATAGCTAGTAACATCTAGTCAAATGGGCACATCTCAGAGCACGTTAGGAGAACAGTGGCCTGGACCCTGCTCCGCCCCCTTCACTCCCCACTCTTGCTTCTGTGGGTATCCTTCCTATTCATTTGTATCACTTCTTCCCATTGCCTGTGTGTATTTTTATAGAGTCATGTCATAGTTGAGAGAGAGAGGTTTCCCAGGGGCTCCAGTCGCTTTGCTGCAGCGATTTGCCCAAAGTTGCAGAGCTCCTGGGTGGCCAGGCCTCACTTCTCACCTGGGGCTCTTCCACGCTGCTTCCAAAATGCAGCTGGCGTCGCTCTCGCCTCCCTAGACCCTGCCCTGCGGGGGGCATTTAGCCCTGTGGGTCAGAACCCACTGGGCAAGCAGGGAAGGAAGAGTTCAGGTCCCAGCAGCCCCACTGTGACCAGTCCCTTGGCCCTGGGCCTGGGACTCCGCCTCCATCGCTCAGGTTCCTCAGGGGGAGAGTGGAAGACGGTGGAATACTGAAACTGGGGCTCCTTGGGGTGGGACAGTGGTGTCCATGCCGCCCCTCTTCCTGGGACCCACCCTCTGCTGTGAGTGGGAGACCAGGACAGCGGGGAATCTCTGTCGTCCTGAGGCCGCACCGTGAGTTTCTCTGTCACCCAACCATGGCATCTGGTGGGGAATCACCACCCTTGACATTGGTGGAGTTTTTGTAGAAAATGACCCCGTGGCGCCCCCTTTCTGCATATTATTGGTAGTGGGGGGTGGAGCCCTCTGAGTGGGACAGCTTCCCTCCGGTGACCCTGGATCCGGTAGATCTTCACACCGTCTCTACGGCACGTGCCCCTCATGGGAAGGCCTGATTTATTTTGGGGGGACTTATGACTTGGAAACAATTTCATAAGCCGCCCTGGCAGTAGGTAAGGCAGGAATATTACCTCCGTCTTACAGATGAGAACGTAGGTTTAGAGAGTTTAAATCTGGGCCTCCAGGGCATTCTGCCTTCCCTGGAGTGCATCAGCTTCAGGCCACGGGTGCTGCCTGGTCCCCTGTGCCGCCGGGACTTGGGCATCCACGCTGATGATATGTGTTGTACCAGGTCACAGGACTCCTGCATTTCCTCGGAAGCAAGGATTTTCATCTCCCTTCCGTGTCACTTGCCTACAGCTCGGTCAGGTTATAACTCACAGTTACTCAGCGCGGTTGAGGTTTCCCAGGGGCTCCAGTCGCTTTGCTGCAGCGATTTGCCCAAAGTTGCAGAGCTCCTGGGTGGCCAGGCCTCACTTCTCACCTGGGGCTCTTCCACGCTGCTTCCAAAATGCAGCTGGCGTCGCTCTCGCCTCCCTAGACCCTGCCCTGCGGGGGGCATTTAGCCCTGTGGGTCAGAACCCACTGGGCAAGCAGGGAAGGAAGAGTTCAGGTCCCAGCAGCCCCACTGTGACCAGTCCCTTGGCCCTGGGCCTGGGACTCCGCCTCCATCGCTCAGGTTCCTCAGGGGGAGAGTGGAAGACGGTGGAATACTGAAACTGGGGCTCCTTGGGGTGGGACAGTGGTGTCCATGCCGCCCCTCTTCCTGGGACCCACCCTCTGCTGTGAGTGGGAGACCAGGACAGCGGGGAATCTCTGTCGTCCTGAGGCCGCACCGTGAGTTTCTCTGTCACCCAACCATGGCATCTGGTGGGGAATCACCACCCTTGACATTGGTGGAGTTTTTGTAGAAAATGACCCCGTGGCGCCCCCTTTCTGCATATTATTGGTAGTGGGGGGTGGAGCCCTCTGAGTGGGACAGCTTCCCTCCGGTGACCCTGGATCCGGTAGATCTTCACACCGTCTCTACGGCACGTGCCCCTCATGGGAAGGCCTGATTTATTTTGGGGGGACTTATGACTTGGAAACAATTTCATAAGCCGCCCTGGCAGTAGGTAAGGCAGGAATATTACCTCCGTCTTACAGATGAGAACGTAGGTTTAGAGAGTTTAAATCTGGGCCTCCAGGGCATTCTGCCTTCCCTGGAGTGCATCAGCTTCAGGCCACGGGTGCTGCCTGGTCCCCTGTGCCGCCGGGACTTGGGCATCCACGCTGATGATATGTGTTGTACCAGGTCACAGGACTCCTGCATTTCCTCGGAAGCAAGGATTTTCATCTCCCTTCCGTGTCACTTGCCTACAGCTCGGTCAGGTTATAACTCACAGTTACTCAGAGCGGTTCCGTCTCGGACGTGGGCCCTGATGTCACCCTCTTAGTGCAGGATCCTCCATCCTTCCCTGTCCCCGCCCTTGCCCCCCAGCCCCTCGTCAGCGTGCCGAGGGTTCCCGATAACCCCTCTCCCCTACCTTGCCTCCCAGCCCTGCGGGGCCCGAGGTGGCCTCTTCCTGGCTCTGGGTCTCTGCGTGGCCTGTGCTCCTGGCCTGACCTCCTGTGCTGAGCAAGCTCTGACCTCATGGGGACTGCGGCCCCGCTGGCCCTCCCCGCAGCCTGTCTCAGACCCTTCCTCTCCTTGGGCTCCTGCCCTCTCACCTTCTCCGTGGCAGATCTGCCTCCTGCTCTGGCAGTGAGGTCGAGGCCATCTGGCATAAGCCCTTGGTTTTCTGTCCCCACTGCAGACTGTCTCTTCCTGCATCTCTCTCGTTCTTCCCTCGAAACTGACCAGTGTCTCCTGCCCCTGGGCTCTCCCACTTCCGCTGCTGCCCCCACTCCAGCTGGTCTGCATCCCCACTTCTAGAAACCCAGGAGGAATAATGCCTTTAGTCTCTCCTGTCCTTTGGCAGTATCTACTCTGTAAGCACACTTGGGCCTCTTTCCTTAGCCTGAAATCAGTCCTCTGCAGCTTAACCTTCCACCTGCCCCCACAACACTTGCCTCCCCCATCTTCCCACCCCCAGCAGCTTTCCCAAAGGAGAGGCCCCCAGATCCTCAGGCCAGAAACTCCCGGGTTTCTCAGAACCTGGCCTCTGTTTTCTTCCGCCACAGAAATGGCCGCCTCAGGGCCAACAGTGACCCCCCTCCTGCAAATCCAGGGGCTTTTCCCATCTGACTCCTGGACCCTCTCTGTCTTTCGACCACGTACATGAGCCTCCTCTATCCTGGTTCCCTCCCGGCTTCCTGGTTGCTGTTTTCTCTGGCTCTTGCCTCTTAAATTTGGTGTTTCTCAAAGTACTTTATCCTGAATCTCTTCTCTTTTCTTTCTGTTCTTTCTTCCTTGGCATTTTGTCTTCTCTGCCAAATACAGATTCCACTCTCCGCAGATAACTCTCAAATCTCTGTCCTCTACCCCAGCATCTTCCTTTACTTGCAACCTGAGTTTCCAGCTGGTTTCTAGAAGGTTCTACCTGAAAGTCCAACCAGCACTTCAAACTCAAGTTTTCTAGACCTGAACTCATTGATTCCTCTGCCCTGTGTTCTTTACCCTGCAGACTTTCCATTTCTACTAAGAGTCACTGCCGTCTCGGTTATCCAGGCTCAGCGTCACCTTCGTCACTTCCTCTCTGTCACCCGTATGCCTTAAGTCTGGTCCTGTACCATCCACTCCCATGGATTTAAGATGCATCTTAAATCCAACCCCTCCTTTCATTTCCACGGCCACCACTTTATTTAAGGCTCCCCTGATAACCTTTGTGTTCAGACACCAGCTGGGGGGCCTGCAACTCAGCTCTGACACTAACTACCCAGAGCTGGCACGGACGCCGCAAGCTAAAGGGTGAGGTCGTCAGCCAGACTTGCCCGACTTCAGGCACCAGGTGACCTGCACTCTGCCTGCTTTGGCTGCAGATTTGGAGGTTCCCACCACCCCACTTCAGGTTCAGTGATTTGCACCGAACACGCTGCAAGTGCTGTATTTCCTATTTTGTTATAAAGCATACAACTCAGAAACCGCCGGATGGGAGAGACCCGTAGAGCCAAGTTAGAGCCAGGGGCAGGGGGTGCAGAACCTCCGCGGCCTGTCCTCCTCCATGGACCCTGGGTGCACACTTTCAGTGTGCTCTCCATCCAGGAGCTCCACTGAGCTTCAGTGTCCAGGATTTTTATCAGGGTTTCATTGTGTGGACCTGATTGGTTAAATCAGTGGCCACATGACTGAGCTCCTCTCCAATCCCCTTCTCCAGAGGTGGTGATGATGGGGGTGCGGGGAGGGTGTCTGAAAACTCCAACCTGCTAGTCCCAGCTTGGGCTTCCTGGGGAGGCCACCCCTCCCCAAACTATCCAGGGGTTCACCTGGATCACCTCGTCAGCATGAACCCAGGTCTGGTCAGAGGGGGCTGGTTAGGAATAATGACAACCCTATCACTCAGGAAATGCCAAGGGTTTTTGAAGCTCTGCGCCAGGAACAGGGGGCAAAGACCAGATACACTCTCGATTACGTCACACCTTTCTCTGCACTCTTCAGAGCCTGCTACGTGGTCTGCCCCCACCCGGGTCCATTCTACAACCACTGCAAGATGAGTCTCACAGCATCACCACTCCTTCCCAGAGAAGCCACTCGCTGCCCATCGCCTCACTGTCAATGCTAACTCCTCAGCATGGCGTTCACGGCTATCCCAAAACAGGCTCCAGCCTGGCCGGCTAGCAGTGTCTTCCCTTCCCCAAGCTGCGTGGGCTGCTAGCTGTTACCTGCTTTTCTTTGCCGTTGCTTGTCCTGAAGCACTCTGTTCCCTGAGATGCCGTCCCCTCTGCCCTGTTTCCTGATGCCCTCTCGCATCTGTACCGCTGGACTGGGCTTCTTCCCCTCAGAGTGTCCTCTGCACTTCACCCCTCTTGGTGCCGCTCGTATCCTGCTTTATAACCTAGGTCGTGGTGGCCATGGCTCAGCCCCAGAGATAGACTGTAGTCACTTTGGTAGCGAGCACCGTCTGATTCTTTCGTTGCTCTGGCAGTATCTGGCACGGGTCTTGTACAAGAACTTGTTTGAGATTTGTTGAATTGATCAGCCGCATCATAGATAACAATGCCTGTAATCATTTTCAGAAACACGTGGAAGCCAATGTCTGCGTTACCATGGAAATGGTGCAAGACGCCTTGGACCAGCTTCGAGGTGCAGTGATGATTGTTTATCCCATGGGGTTGCCGCCATACGATCCTATCCGGATGGAATTTGAAAATAAAGAAGATCTGTCGGGGAGTCAGGTATGTGGCTCTTGGGGTTTCTTCCAGGTGAGTTCACTCCCCCAGCCCCCAAAGAGCAGAAGCCCCTCCGATTTGACCTTTCTCTGCTGATGTAGTTTGTTTCTTCATACACAGCTTTCCATTTTGCTAGACTAGGCTTCAGAGCAGAGTTGTGAATTCAGGGGAGGACCCCAAGGGCGTGCTCCTGGTTGAGGGCTTGGCCCACACACACAGGGGTGGCAAGAGACAAGGGAGTAACCGAAAACATTCCCATTTTCTTTGACCACTGGGAAGCCAAAACCCTAATTTGTGCCTATTTCTACCCAAGCGTATTGGTCCCTTTGCATGGAATTTTGTGTTCTAGCCTTATCTTTTTCCCCCACCCCCAATACATTTATTTATTTATTTGTTTGTTTATTTATTTATTCATTCATTCATTCATTCATTCGTTCATTCGTTCATTCATTCATTCTTGGCTGCGTTGGGTCTTCATTGCTGCACATGGGCTTTCTCTAGTTGTGGCGAGCAGGGGCTACTCTTTGTTGCAGTGCACGGGCTTCTCATTGCAGTGGCTTCTCTTGTTGTGGAGCACAGGCTCTAGGCACGCGGGCTTCAGTAGTTGTGGCTCGCGGGCTCTAGAGCGCAGGCTCAGTAGTTCTGGCGCATAGGCTTAGTTGCTCTGCGGCACGTGGGAGCTTCCCGGGCCAGGGCTCGAACCCGTGTCCCCCGCATCGGCAGGCGGATTCTTAACCACTGCGCCACCGGGGAAGCCCCTAGCCTTACCTCTTGCTCCTTATTATTTTCTTAGCTTTATGTTCCACTTTCCTTTGTTTTTCTCATTTTTTCATTCCTTATCCTATGGGACAGTATCTTTTTCTCTGAGCCATCTTAAATAGGCAGGATATGCAGAAGCAAACGAACAGCCCCATTATACCTATACAGCACTTCCTTAATTTATGATAGGATTATGTCCCAACAAACCCAGCGTAAGTTGAAAATATTATGTTGAAAATGCATTTAATACATTTAACCTACCAAATATCATAGCTTAGCCTAGCCCACCTGAAACGTGCTCAGAACACTTACACTAGCCAACAGTTGGGCAAAATCATCTAACACGAAGCCTATTTTATAATAGTGTGGTTTATTGAATACTGTACTGAAAGTGAAAAACAGAACTGTTGTCTGGTACGGACAGTTGTATCGGTTGATTACTCTGGCGATCACAAGTTACTGCCGCTGCCCAGCGTCACGAGAAAGTCTCATACTCTACATCACTAGGCCGAGAAGAAATCAAAATTCAAAATTTAAAGTATGGTTTCTACTGAATACGTATCACTTTCACACCATCATATAGTCAAAAAGTCATAAATCGAACCATCGTAAGTCAGAGGCTTTTGTATTTAAACACTCAGCAGGATCCCCGTATTCTTCCCTGGCAGTAACATAAAAATCCATCTAAGACGGACCTTATATCATGGATGAGGGTGCAAATGAGATAGGATACCCGCCACCTTCCAGAAGTGACCTGAGTCAGGGCATGAGCTGAAACTAACAGGGAAGGTGCTGAAATGAGTGAGGGCTTTGAGTAGGGGGCATTAGTGCTGCCCGTGGGAGACGGCAGGGGAGGGCAGGGTGCTGGAAGCCTGTCCCACTTCCGATGCTCCCTGCCCCCAGGGCCGGGCCACAACCTTGGCCGTGTCCTGACTACCTTAAAGCTGGTTCTTACCGTGAACCCAGGCAGCACTCAGTGTCATCACAGAATCAGAGGCACAATTGTGGTGGGCAGCGAAGGAACTAAGACGAACAAAGAAGCTTTCGGACTACGTGGGGAAGAATGAAAAAACCAAAATTATCGTCAAGATTCAGCGGGTAAGTACTTTAACATGTCACTATTTTTTTACTTACTTGCAAACTGATAAAAGTTTACATTAAATCTGAAAGACTTAAACTGTTGTGCAGACACTTGAATCCTGCCGGTCCAGAGGCTTCAAGCCAAACCGTCCTCTTTATGGAGCAACGAAAACATGAAATGCGGATCGGTGGACAGTGTCTGGAGCTTGTTTTAATTGGCGGGGAAAGGAGAGTGTGCTGCGCTCATTTCAGCTTTAAAAATGGGGCTTGCAAGTAACTAAAATGTTTCTTGAAATGAAAAATACAGCCCAGGGCACTGATCTCAAGTTTTTCTAAGTGCTGACAGTCTGTGAAAGAGGTGGAGAGCTGGAGACCTGTAAGGACTTCGTGTGGAGCCGTATACCTGCAGGCTGCTTTGTTATGTGCTCTCTCCTAAATCATCTCTCTCTATATAGTTTGGGGGCAACAGGGTCCCCCCACGATTATCTCTACCCCTCCCTCACTGGACCTGCAGTGGCTGACTTGGGAATGGCTGTGACCAACATGGCACCACCCAGCCTCCACTGTGAGGGCCCAGGGCCAGAGCGAGACTCCCCTCGTGATTCGCTGTGGATGATCAGAGATGCGTGACCTGTTTATCTTTAGCAGTCGGCAAAGGCAGTTGTAAGGCGTGAGCTGTAACTTCCTGGGTCGTCCTTATAAGAACGCCTCAATCCGCAATCTGCTGTCCCCCCGTCTTTTCAGAGGGGACAAGGAGCTCCAGCGCGAGAACCCATCATTAGCAGTGAGGAACAGAAACAGCTGATGCTCTTCTATCACAGAAGACAAGAGGAGCTCAAGGTACCGTGTGACTGACGGATTCTCAGCTAGCTGGCGCCTGGGGCGTTCACCCCCTCACCCCCAGGCCTTACTCTGGGCACGGGGGTAGCTCGGGGGGCTCTGCTGGATGTGGTGAGGGCACCTCCTGAGCTTCAGCCTCGCCAGGGCTGTGGGGGCCCTGCTTGGTGTCCGCCTGCCTTAGGCTCTGGAGGTGTCCTGCTTCTGGGGACGTGGGGAGCAAGGAGGTTGGTCGTGGGTTCTGCAGAACACTTTCCTGAAATGCCTTCCTGAGCATAATACGTTTGTGTCCAGAAACTGGAAGAAAATGACGACGATTCCTGTTTAAATTCTCCGTGGGCAGATAACACTGCTTTGAAAAGACATTTTCATGGAGTAAAAGACATAAAGTGGAGACCAAGATGAAGTTCAGCGGTTGATGAGGCTTTCTAAAATATTAGCTCACCTTTCCTTTAGGCAAAATAATAATAATAATAACTAAAAAGGACACCCACAGCTCTCTTTGAAAGTTGTTGAAATTTCTGGTTTTCCTAGTGGTTTTTTCAGTTTGAATTTTTAAAATAAAAGTTATTCAAGGTTTTAGAACTTAATAAATACATCCTCAAAAGAATCCGCCTAAACTATTTTTATTTCAGGATGACTATCTACTAATCTGAGGTTTTTCTTTGGCAAAATACTGAAGATGTAGTTACAAACATTTTTTGCTTCCTGCTTGCCTTATTTTATATTCTCATAACAGCTGCTGTATTGCAGGAGGTTGAAAGTACCTTTTCTCCCAGGGATCTGCTGTGAAACTTAGCTGTCAGTGGCCACTAGAGGCCGCCCGTCACTTCCTTACCGGCATTCTTCCTGGGCCCTCCCTGTGGAACTGTCAGAGGCCCAATTCTCAATCTTGTTTCAGAGACTGACAAGGGGTCTAACTGTAGCCTTGTGTCTCCCAGCTTCAAAGGTGAAGTTCACCCCCTGGTTGAGACCTGGCTGGTCTTGTCTTCCAGGTGTAAAGGCTGTACCTGTGATGGAAGTTGGGTGGCCAAACTAGACTAACCTTGAAACTGGACAAATTCTTGTGTAGTTTCTGGGCTTTTCCTGAAAACAAATGTAGATCCTGGTAACCGATGGTTCTCCCCGTGGGCTCACAAGAGCCTGCAGCTCTTGCCGTGCTGAGGTCGGTACCGAGGCTGACAGATGGAAATGCTGTTGGCTCGGTGACAACCACGTTGGCTCACCTGTCATCCTGACTGGTTTTCTAGGACATCTTTTTTTTTTTTTTTTGCGGTGTGTGGGCCTCTCGCTGTTGTGGCCTCTCCCATTGCGGAGCAAGGCTCCGGACGCACAGGCTCAGTGGCCATGGCTCATGGGGC